GACAGTGCTGCGGCTGAGATTAAACCAGCATGACATTGCTTTAGATTTTCACTACCAGGCGATTTGCAATAGGCCTGCGAGCAGATGTGCGACAGCCTCCTGCTGTGCAGAGGACATTTAGACATCCCACGACTGGGTTGTGAAACACATCGGGATGAAGCAGTTTGAACATTCATAGCCGCTGTTATGAGTTATCGCCTTCATATTAGAGGATATATTACATCTGCAGCCATTATATGCATTACATGCAGCCCGTTAAACTGTCACTGGCTTGGAGGTAATTGAGACTGAAATATGAGCTTTAAAATGGTGCACAACCTTGGTAAAGCGCAGTGTTTTCCATTTGAAAGCAATATGACTTATGAGTTCTTATTGTGATTGATCAATCATTTGGAACATGTATTGCAGAATAACAAGCTGAACACTTAATCATGTCAGACTCGATATAGTTTGTAAAGGTCTTTTTTTGGGGCATTAACTGAGTTACAGAACAAATTGTGACACTTTCAACTGGAAATGAGTGCATGAGATGGAAGTCATAGAAATAATTGGGTTCAAAAGAAGTTAAAGTTAAATCAATCTGCAACTGATACTAACTGCAGCCAAAATAACAGTTGAACTTGCTATCGCACCCTATAGAAATGTGTAGAATTAGGATTTCAAACCTTTATTTATACAGATAAATCCCATTGAGATCATTGATCTCTTTTTCAAGGGAGACCTGCTCAAGTAGTTCCACATGAAACATAAAAACATAAATAGAACAACAAAAGGACATCATACAGCATCATTTACATAATTATCCACATAAACAGGTACCAATAGCTTCCGATTGACTAGCATCCAACCGAGCTTTAAAAACATTTAGTGGCACCAGATTGTTCAGTTTCCATTTAATTTGCAGACTATTTCAAGACAGAGGAGCTGCGCATCTAAAAGCTATCTTCCCTAAGACAGTCCTAGCAGTTGGCACATTTAATAAAACCACAGCATTCGATCTCAGGCAGTGGCCACTTACAATTTTCTGTGAGATTAGGGAGCAGATGTAGGATGGAAGTTTCCCTAACATGGCTTTGTATATAAAAATGTACCAGTGACTGAGCCTCCGTACAGTTAGTGAAAGTAAACCAGCCCTTGCATACAGGGTACAGTGATGGGTTAATGCTTTACAGTTTGTCACAAATCTCAGTGTACTGTGATACGCAGCATCTAACTTGAGCAGGCAATTGGCAGGTGCATTCATATACATCAAATCACCATAGTCCAGCACAGGTAAAAAGGTCACAGTGACTAGCCTTTTCCTGGCCTCAAGCGAGAAACAGGACTTGTTCCTGTAGAAGAAACCTAGCCTAACCCTCAGCTTTTTAAGCAGGTTATTGACATAAAGTTTAAAAGTGAGACAATCATCAAGCCAGATACCAAGGTATTTGTAACAGATAACCACTTCAAGTTTTATTCCCATTTTCTACTCACAACTAATAGTTTCTGCTTAATCAATGTGTCATGGTTGCCCAAGATGCTTTGCGACCAAACACTGCACATGAATCAAAATGTTGAATATTGGACCATAAAAGAAAATATATCACTTCTGTTTTGCTGTGAATATTCAGTATAGTTAACCAATAAACTAACTATGCGTAAATCAAAAATAAATGTGCTTGTAGAATATGAAATGAATGGCTAAAGCTGCTAAGAGTCTTCCATCTATGGTGCGGAAAAGTCACCTTACCCAGGTACTCCCAGTTGAAAATATAATTGACCTGCTCAACAACCTGCAATGGCAACTGCATCATATAGGGCGTCGTCACTCATGCATTACTGATGGCCTGCTTTAACTGCCCTGTCACCTGCTCCATCACCAGCAAATGAGCCACAGACGATGCATCACGCTCACTGGCTGTTATATTTGCACATGCTTTGCTGTCTGCAACCCCATTACCCAAAGGACAAGGAGACATTAATGTGTCCTGTCTTAGATAAATGTTGCACCTGATTTTGAAGTGGTCTGTATGACAATCTAACAAATGGCAATGTAAGCTTCATAGTGTTAACTGGTAACTAGTCAGATTGTATCCAAAACAAATGATTATCTTTATCATTTTTGGCAAAGTGTGTATTGGTCACGATGCATTTTACAAAACAACAACTTCGATGTTGCTTTTAGAAATACAAGGTGGTTCTCTGTGGGCATTTTAAAATAAAGAGAAGTGTAATCTTTTTACATATATATATATATATAGCTATATGCAACATGTTATGAGGGAATTGTTGATTGGCTTTGTTGGCCAATTAGCATCCTAGCATGTTGGTTTGTTATCTCACTGATAATAGATTGAATTATAACATCATTAGCATGTTCATCATATGTACGTGACACAAACATTAGCAGTGATTTAGAAACAAGGACACAGAAGCCATTACTGGAATATATATGTATGACTCACAGCCCCGTAGCTCTCCAAAGATCAAGGACAATATATTCTTTATGCGAGTTGCGCTCCCTCTTAACCTTCTGCACATCTATCTTCACACTTAAGTACCTGCTTCAATCCAATCCAATCCATTTTATTTCTATAGCACATTTAAAAACAACAGAGTTGAACAAAGTGCTGTACATCAACAACTGTATAAAAACATAGCATAAACACATACAAAACAGACAGGACATGAAACAAATGTAAAACACGAGACAATGAAAGCAGATCAGAAGCCACAGACTGAAAAACTCTCCTCCATGACGTAAAAACAGTACCAAACACTAGTAAGATAACAACCCAAATATAAAAGCACAAGTGTAACACCTGGCCTGTAAATGCCAGGGAAAAGAAGTGGGTTTTTAAACGAGATTTAAAAACAGGCAGAGTTGGAGCAAGTCTAACCTGGAGGGGCAATTCGTTCCATAATTTTGGAGCTGCAACAGCAAAGGCTCTGTCTCCTCGCTGCTTTAGCCTTGATTTTGGGACTACCCGAAGTAATCTGTCAGCCGACCTCAGTGACCGTGTGGGTGTGTATGGTTTTAAAAGATCTGCCAGGTACGGTGGGGCTGAACCGTTTAGGGCTTTGTATGCAAACAGTAACATTTTAAATCGTATTCTAAAACTGACTGGTAGCCAGGCGAGTACAGGCGTAATATGTTCACGCCTGCCTGTCCTTGTAAGGAGGCTTGCAGCAGCATTCTGGACCAGCTGTAGGCATGACAGGGAAGCCTTGCTTACTTCAATGTACAGAGCATTGCAGTAATCCAGTTTAGTGGATATAAAACAATGTATTACTTTCTCAAAGTCATTAAAAGAAAGGAAAGGCTTGACCTTTACTAAAAGTCTTGGCTGAAAGAATCTGTTTGTCTAGTTTAAAATCACGATCAATCCGTACACCCAGGTCTGTGACAATCCATAAATAATACTCATTAAATGGGCAAAAGGAGACGGACGTAACCTCCTAACCTCTTGATACTTAAAGCCAGGCCCTCCCCTCTCCGCTCTCTCTACAGTGGGAACACTAATTTCCTCTCCACCACAGGCTAAGCATTACTCTGGCCTCTTGTTCAGCTCATTCGCTCCCCTTCAACTACCAATCTCTGACCTTGTCATGAGCCCAAGGAGCCAAGTGTTTGACCTTGACCCCTCCCTATGCAGTTCATAATGCCACAAGGGCTGCCGCAGAGAGACTGATAGTCCCGCCTGACCCAAGGGTCTTCTGATCTGCCTCAATGTCACCTTTTGCACCGAACACTGAAGCCAACATTGATTGTCTCTGAGATAAAAACGGACTGAAGTGCAAGAACAGAAAGAGAGAGGGAGGGAGAGATAAAAGGGCAGACTTTGGGAGATAAGATGAGAGAGATGTGAGAGGGGCCAATGTAGAAAACAGCAAATCATTTGAAATATCTCCCAATTTGATCATTTTGTGTTTCATCTCTTTCTTTCTTACTCTGGAGTGCACTGCTGGGATGAAATATTGTCCTTGTACAGCAAATGCCTTTGGCTATCATCTCAAGATAACTGTGTTATGAGTTATCAAGCCCAGGCTCTACGAGTTAATAAGAGCATTTGAAATACAAATGGACTGTACTGTCAATTAACATTCCCTTGACTAGCTACCGAAAGCTTCGTATAAAAATCGTACAGGTAGTTACAGAGCAGCTCTGATACTGTAATTACAACTAGGAAAAGCATTAAAGCATCAAGCTTTGTCTTATCTGATGCGATCGCCATAAGATCCCCTATTATTTTCTCATTATATCTCACAAATCTGACATCTCAAGACCTGTCCACTCACGTTAACCTCTCAACATTGCTCCAGTCACTTTCTGCGACAACACACAGAGTCCATTAGACCCCGAGGACAGCCTCCAGGTCCCCATCGGCACGGCCAATCCCATTTCATCTGTCCCTCTGATCTGAGCTATTGTTAGGAGACTGTGAAAACGTATAGGGCGCTTTATTAGATCTGTCACCTTCAGGTGCTCCTGCCTTTGCTTCTCAGGCTTTAGTCCCACTTTGCAATCAACATTTCCAATAGCAACCACATCATGATAGATGGTTGCAATGTACCAGAATGTAGAAACGTAACCTTACCTGAGTGAGTTGGACATGAAATGAACACCATGGTTACTTTGGTCAGCTCGACCGACAAGGCTGTTTAAGATAAAGGACATCAAACATGAGACATTGATGCAGGTTTAATTTAAAATGCAAGCAGACAATTATAACAGCTAGTAACAAGGACACTTAACGAAGGTGTTTGAATTTACTCATCTTATTGTTTGGTCAGAGGAGCGGATACAGTATTGTGTTGTTTTGAGTGGCCACACTGAGGCTGCCTTTGAAAACAGTTTTCAATGTCAACCCAATGGTTTATTGGTCTAAGAGGATCAGTAAACAGTAAAGCTGGTATCTGGAGATGAAAGGAATAACAGGTGCAGCGTGGACACATATGGCTTGGATAATTTAATATCTGGTGGATTAACAGAAAGTCTATTTCTGTTTCCTTTCTGTCAGACCGGCCACCGGCTCCTGTTAATGTGTCCGTCATGCACCTGCGAGCCGACTCGGCAACTGTATCCTGGGAAGTTCCAGAGGGAGATATAATAATCGGCTTTTCGATCTCACAACAGGTAAGTCCTAAACTTGTATTATGAATATGGCGAAACAGGGTTGGCAGAAAAAAACCCACGGCAGCGTGCGTTGAAGCTTCAACGCTTCTGCCCATTCACTTTGAATGGGGTGACGTCACGCTTCGCCAAACTGCATTGTGGGAGCTTGCTCGTGTTGCTCGCTTCAAAAGTAGAGCAATGTTCTACTTTTGAAGCTTTGTCGGAAGCGTCAGCCAATCGAATCATATGCCAGTACAAGCTCTAGCCAATCAAACCGCTGCTTGTGTGTCCGGGGCAGGAGATTCATGTTCATGGTTCTTGGTCGAGCGTCAGACATGCCCGCCGGCAAGGTTCAACGCACGCCGCCGTATGTAGGGGCCGTTAGGGAAAATTGCATTAGTTTTAGATTTGTGACTTGGCATTGAGCCTTTGTCATGTCCAGTTGAAATGTTGTTGGCACACTATGCAGCGAGTATGAAGAAGTGCACCTGGAATCTGTAACCCACCCTGTCATCGTTCATGCCAGCCTGTGAAACACATACGGCTAAAATAGGTATGAGTGACTGAAAACATATTACTCGCACAATTAAATGATAATATAGTCACTAACAGAAGTCCATAGAGGAGTTTTTATATTCTCATCAAACACTATATTTCACGAGTTTGTCCAGCATAATGAGTAAGTATTAGCACATATGCACAGGCAGATGAATGAAGATGTGTCTTCATCTCTGTGTACGGTGGCCCTGAAGTGCAAGACACCACAGCATTTCACAAAACACTACAGCATTTCAGAAAACACTACAGCATTTCAGAAAACACAACAGCAATTCAGAAAACACCACAGCATTTCACATTGGACGGAAAGGGTATTCCTTAGGGAGAACACTTCTTGTTTGTGATTGGACAGAGCCAGCCATAGAAGCACTGCTGTGATTGGTTGTTTTGCTGCCAGTCAAGAAATGACGCTTCGTGATTGGCCCAACACATCAGCCGTTAGCTGTTAGCACACACTCAGAGCTCACAGCTCCTCATATCTGTTCAGAAACTGGACAAAAGTTCAACATAAACAAAACACAGACTGTCTATGTCATGGTGAATACAGTCGCTGCTTTATTTATGTCTGTATGACATTGTTGTGAGTGTGGACGGAGCAGCTACAGGTTAGTTTAGCCTGATCGATCCGATTCCGATAGGATTTACATAGAGATACGGCCCGCCCCCTCTCCAGCGTCTTGTTTGAATGACAGGAGTAAACACAGAATTAATGCTTTATTAATTCATGTTTTTTAAGGGGCTTATCTCCATGTAAATACTATGGTAGACCACCCAATATTCGCATCGCTCTAATCGCTCGAGTTTCACCGTGGCTGTCAGCTGTGTTTGCTCCTGTCATTCAAACAAGAGGCGCTGAGAGGGGGCGGGGCGTATCTCCATGGGGGCGGGGCGTATCTCCATGTAAATCCTATGGGAGATACCAATTACAACAAAATGAACATATTTGACCGTGATTTAATTGTAATACACGTTTCAAAGTGATGCCGAAGTAACTACATACTGATACCGGTTAGTAAAAACCATGAATTAACGCTTTGATAAGTCTGCAGACAAGACGGCAGGTGAAAAGCTTTTAAAATGCATGTTTTCTGAATGGAATCGGATCCATCAGGCTAAACTAACCTGTAGCTGCTCCGTCCACACTCACAACAACGTCATACAGACCTAAATAAAGCAGCGACTGTATTCGCCATGACATAGACAGTCTGTGGTTTGTACATGTTTAACTTTTGTCCAGTTTCTGAACAGATATGAGGAGCTGTGAGCTCTGAGTGTGTGCTAACGGCTGATGTGTTAGGACATATTTCGCTGTCGGGTGTTGACCAATCACGAAGCGTCATTTCTTGACTGGCAGCAAAAACAACCAATCACAGCAGTGCTTCTGGCTGGCTCTGTCCAATCACAAACATCACTAAAGGAATACCCTTTCCGTCCAATGTGAAATGCTGTGGCGTTTTCTGAAATGCTGTGGTGTTTTGTGAAATGCTGTTGTGTTTTCTGAAATGCTGTTGTGTTTTCTGAAATGCTGTAGTGTCTTGCACTTCAGGGCCACCGTATCTGTGTGTATTCTTGGGTAAAGCTTTGCTTAGCATGCAGAAAGGATGACTAAATATTGCCTTCAAGCTTGGAGTCAGAATCAAACTTGGCATGGTCGAATTGTCAAGAGAAAACAGGGGGCCACTTTGTGAAGCCGCCAAACTGCAATTCTGAGGCTAAAACGATTTCATAGGCTTAAAATAGGAAAACCAATAAATGTTAACCCTGAATGGGTGAACACCGTATATTTATGTAATTGTGTTTATGCTTTAAAGCATCATGCAACCCTTTAACCCTTTAACTTTGCTTTCACTTTTCACTGATGGTCTGTGTACAACACCAAAATGACCCAAACACACGTCATGGTAAGCATCTTAATTTGATGTATATCGTGGTAAATAATTACATTACTCATAGTTTACAGCTGTCTTTTAGTCGAGCAGGGCCATTAAAGAGACTTCGACCTAGAGCCACACATAGATATGCATGCTACAGGAGAATCATTCTCACAGCTTTGGGTCTTTGTTGCTCCAGTAACCTTCTGAAAGGTCATAGACAAAGTCTGAGACTGATTAGTCTAGACGGCAAGTGCCTTGAGTCACAAGCTTTCAGAATATTGATTGCAAATGTATAATTCCCAGTCAAGACTCCTTACGGCTAAACTAAATTGCCAACTGTTAATATAATAAGCACCCAGCATGTCGTTCTCCAGCAAACTTTGGTAGGTAACCTCCGTCTCACATTATCATGGCTCCATCAAGAGGTACATGATTGTTTTTAGCATTTTTACAAAGGTTTCTTCCTTAGGGACACATTTGCAGGACTGTTTCTTCACCCTGATTACCAACACTGTATTGATTACTGCATCTATTCAAAGGATCAATCTACGTTGTTGTACTTTATCCCTGTTCGTATCCATAGAGGCAGGAGGGACACATGCAACGATTCATTCGGGAAGTCAACACCACCAGCCGCTCTTGCGTCCTCTGGGACTTGGAGGAGGAGACAGACTACATCATCCAGGTCCAGTCAATCGGCCTTTATGGGGAGAGCCAAGCCAGCAAGAAGGTCCATTTTCGAACCCTCAAAAAGACAGATCGCTTCCCCTCCAACAGCTCCAACCAAGGTAAGCAGCTGGGGCATATGGTTGTTTGCCTCTTGCAAAGATCATTTGAATAAATGTGTTTCTGTCTGTGTTAAAGGACAATAATAAAACATGGTTCGAAGAGTAGGGGCTCATGTTTTCACATGTGCTAAAACCTTTCTTTGAAGTTAAATGCTAAGGCTGGCCATGTGTTTTTTAATATCATCCTCAAACCCTCTAACAACACTAAAACCAACAATCAATGCTTCTTGCTAACTCATATTGTTTGTGTAGCTACATATAGTTTATAGTTCCTTAAATTTGAACTCTATTATTGTTCAAAAACTACTAATAAAACTAAAAGTCTATCCATTAGATCCATTAGATATGCTACTAACACAGTCTCTGCCAACCCGTGACATTGACCAACCTTTGACCTTCAGATTATGTTTATCATGACTATGTTGATGACTGTGCCTAATTTGAAGACATTTTCCATTTCCTTTAAGACATTTTCCTTAAGAAGTATTCCTTATACTGAGATATCACAACAAAAGCACTTTTTTCAAATGAAATGTTTGTTGTACTGAAGACACACACACTTCACCCAGTGTCAGGAGTGGCTGTATTCTTTTTTCAAATGACTTTTTATGCTTTTGCGCTACAATACTGTAGTTCTGTGGCGTGATGAATAATATATATATCATTCTTCGGATACACAGGCAATACTTGTTAGTCTGATCAATTTATTGTGTCTTCATGGGATATGTCAATGTCAAAAATATATAATTTAACTGCCAAGTATTGAGTTGGTTCAGTCTATCAAATGCTATAAAAGTTTGTCGAAATGCAGTATTATCGATAAGGTCACAAAAGGTCACTACATCGATCTTTTCAGAGTGTTTCACCTCACTCTGTTGCACAACATAACGCTTTCCCTCCCCCCCCCCGAGGCGAACACAGCAGCAACCCATTACAGATGCTTTTCCTGCTCTCGCGCTCAAGCCTCTTCTGGCTGTTGAATGCTTTTAAGCGGCCTGGCATCGAAAATGAGCTACAGTAAAGTGCAAGTAACCTAAAGCCTCCTCTCACGCAGGTCTATTTTCTCCTGTAGACAATTTCATTATTGACAGACTGTTCAAGCATGGCTTCAGGCAACTCCTCTGAATCCATATAACTCGGGGTGAACTAATCAGATTCAAACACACACTCTGAAGCACTTTGGATTCAGTGTCTGTGCTCATAGGCTGGAGGGAAATATGAACACCATGACCAATGGAGAAAGGGGTTAGTAATTCTCAATTCTTCATGGCACAGATGAGGAAAGTGTCAGAAAAAGCCATTTGCTCTCTATTATAGGCAGTTGGGAAGGCTACATTTCAGAGAAAAGCCCTTCTCTACATTCCTTTAGCCATGATTATGGGATGAGCCAAATATATTAACAGTTTAAACAATGACAGCTTGAGTTTGGCACCGTTCTAGAAACAGGCCTGCTACTTCAAACAATGTTGGCTTGTGTTATATTATGGGGTGGTGTAGGTTATGAATATAGGAAGTGCTGATGCAGGTGAATCATACACGTCTTCCTTTTTAGCTGACTCAGGGTTGGTAACATAAATTGAGCTGGCTCCATCGGTGAAAGAAAAAGAAACACATTCAGGCTCAAGTTCAGCTGAAGAGCCTGTACACTAGGGCTGCTCAATTAATCGTATTTTAATCGCAATTACGATTATGGCTTGCAACGATTACGAAAACAACGTAATCGAAATAAAACGATTATTTTTTTATTATTACTTTTCTTTTTTTTTATTATTTCTTTTTTTATTGGTTTTTCAGTTAAATTATACTTAAAGTTCAGGGTAATCAACTGTTAAAAACATACTGTTCACATTTTTTTTTCTCCAATAAATTGATGTTTTCAAAGTAAATGGATAATCGTTTTTAATAATCGTGATATCAATTATTGACCCAAATAATCGAGATTATGATTTGCCATAATCGAGCAGCCCTACTGTACACTGTCCATTTAAGTAATACAGAAACATTTAACTAATTTCCTCTTGCTTTACATTAAATAAACACACATTTGTATCTGTGTTTATATTAGTTAAAAGCAATGCATTTTAGAGAGTTAACTAACCATGAATATCTGAATGAAGCGCTGAGAATAACAATATTTCACTTACTACTTTTGGAAAAGGTTTCACTGTGCACCATTAATCACAATGTGTAGCCCCCACGAGTCATGCAAGTGGGTCAGGAAAACAGCCCACTCAGTGCATGAGCTTCATTTGTGGGAGTTTGTTTTGGTAAATGTAAAAGCCAACAGTGTCAGCTTTCCATAAATCTAATGCCTGCACTGCTGACTTCCCATGTCCCAGTTTCAAAGTCCAATCACATCAAATTTCGGGTTTATGACTCGGTCTGTGTTGTTGTATATTTTCACTCTGATAATGTATGCAAATGTATGCGGACTTACGTTTTTATTTTAACCACAACAAGCAGAAAACATACTTTTGTAAATTAACTTTTGCTATATCAAATACACAAATGTAATTATCTCTTTTGAGACACCTCCAATACTTTTATAACCTCCATCCTTTCTCTTAACAGGATTTTGCCCTCTCTGAAAGGATGTTTACAATGTTTCCTTCCAAGATAGCATCATATTCCTTAGTCATAAACCTTATCTTAATAGGAACTTTTTTATATTCAGGATCCTGCCGCTAACCATTGCTCCTTAAAAAGCATTTTTAATCTAGTTGGCTGCGGCATCTCACAGCCAAGTGCCAGCTATTGAAACTAAATTGATTTGAAGCAGTCTAGGCATTCCAAAAAGCCATAGATATAATACCCATAAATCAATAATGCTTATATATTTTTCCTGAACGCAATTATCTTTGAAAATGTAATTACATATCAGTGCATATGCAACTGAATGCACAACTTGCCTGAGCCAGATTCAGAATCAATCTATTTTGTATAAAGCATTTCCTGGCAAAATATATGCCAATTTAAATTTAAATAGGCTACTGAGGATCAATATGTCATTCCAAAGTCTATTTCAATTTGATTATTTCCATGGAAAGCTTTTAATCAGAGTATATATTTGAGTTCTTTGCTTGCCCTTCAAGAGTGACGTATGTCTCACCGTGGTCAGAGGGGGAGACTTTTTAAGATCAATTGTTGTTATATGTCTGCAGTTTATTAGGATTCTATTAAAGTAATCAATTGCTCTGTATAACCTTCTGCAAACTAAAACGTATCTTACTGAGGAGTAATTCCAGCATAATGGAGGTACAAGGGATTAACAATGTTAGATATTTGTATGGGGTGTTTCTATTTGTGTGTCTACTACATTATCATGCTGTATTCTTTTGCATGAAGAGTGACGCCACAGTCAACACAGAAAACCTCCAATTAAGTTATATAAAACATTCCCAAACAAGCCACATGAAGCCGCTGCGATTGTCACCTGCTCTCAAACTGTTTCACAAAGGAGATGAAAAAAGAAAGAAAGAATCATTTCAAAGGATGGATGCCTTGAACAGTCAAATCTAACTCGGTAAGCACTCCCCTCAGACACAATTACTGTGAGATACTTCAAAAAGGTGAGAGTCAGAAACACCCAGGCTCCCCCATTAACAGCACTGAGACAAAGTACGCTCCCTGGTACATATTATTTTAACATCAACCCATACTGATATGGATTTTACATCATAAATGAATTCACATTATACTGCACTGTACTCAGCTGTAGTTGAACTCACATGTTTGATACACTGTATAGCTACTGTAGGAGACGTATGTTTTATTTTAAAAACGCAGTTTCTAGGAGACATAATGCAATAATAAATCACAGGATTCATCATTATGACACAAGTACAGCCCCCCCAGTGTGTTGTTACATGGCTTCCCGACAGTTCACAGCCACAAACAACATCCTGGGATTTGGGGTGAGCAGAAGGAAGGTCAACTAATTATCTCGACACAAACTCTTTGAGTGCACCGAAGGCATCACAATCCATACGTTCCCGACTACAGCAGAGAATCACAGCGTATATCTGAGTGTGGTAGCAATGCCACATGAAATATGTACGATACGGCAGCACAACAGGTTATTCAGGTCATCATTTTGTTCCATCGCTCGCTTGTACAGTATATTACATCAAATATGCACATGGTGAATATCAGCATGCTTCACAGTCAGCAGCACGTTTTTCAAATTAAGGATCATTAGATCAACTGGAACACGGTAAACAAGAGCAGGAAGTTCAGATGGAAATGTGCAGAATACAGAAGCCTCAAAGATCAAATGAATTACTGTAACAGCCTGATACAAGTGGTTTCTCTATGATTAACTCTACTTTTCATATGTGCAGGGCCTGTTTATAATTCAGTGATAAGTCAGGTTCTTCTGACAGAAAGAGATGTGGGATAATAAAGTGGAGAGCAGCTCGTAGGTCGTACTTAGTGCTGAGTTGAGTCCTGACCCGGCATAATGTGTGCCTACATGCTGCTGGAAGCACATCCCACACGGCTAGCTGATAGATAACACAGGGGGCTCATTGCTGAGTTGTTTTGAACATTTCAGTCAGGAGCCATTTGTAATACCTGCACACTTAAAAGGGGAAGCAATTCACCTTCACTATTGGGTCAATAAAAGGTACATTTACAGTTAAAAAAAAGGCAACTACTTTCTAACAGCAGGGCATGAATAAGCAATATTCAACCAAACCGCTGAAACTCAGACTCAAAGGTGTAGCATTAGCATTTAGTTTATGTTATCTGCCATCTGTGTGTTTACGATGCCACTAAGCATCAAGGTACGTGTACGCTTTGATGGTTTGTTTATTGGATTTAATCCAAATTGTTCCTTCTTTACATTCTGTCGTGTGCAAGTTCATTCATTTGTAGTGTTTAAGATTAAAATGCTCATGGAAATGGCCCTTTAAAGACAAACTAGAACACAGTTAACAAGGCATTTGCAGACGTTTAGATGGAAGGTCTTTCAAAATACCAAAGCCTCAAGGTTAATTACTGACACAGCCTTCTACCAGTAGATTCTCTATGAAACAGCCTTCTCTTAGTAGTTTTATGTATGCATTTCAGTAGTTTGGTTAAACAATATGTTATTGCTTTTATGGTAGTCAGCAGATGCCTTTATTTACTGATGACTGTAAATGTAGATGTAAAATGTAATCAGAAAATTGCTAAATTATTCATATAAAACAGAACTATATGTGTGTAAGCTACAAGAACTTACATTGATTGTCCTGACGGTGATCTTCAAGAGTTCAATGACCCACAGTCAACAAAGACACAATGATTTGAGGCTATTTTAAAGTTACAACTCCACACCTTTCTTCATTTACGTTTCCCATGCACACAACCAAGATGGAAGTAATTGACCCCACTTTGTAGCAGCCATCACGCCAAGAGAGCTGACAGTTTCCGGCCCAGTTTCCTGACGACTTGATTCACTGAAAGAAGCAATTGGGAAGAGTGGTGCTCTGGAAGAGTTCCATCCATGCGGGTTAAGAGATAGTTTGCAGAGTGGAAAAAGGCCCATAGTCAATCCACTTAAAGGAGGATTAATGCTACAAGATTGATTTGTGGTAATGCCCAGCACATTTTCTGACTACGTTTTTTGTTAAATGGCATAAAAATCCTGAGAAAGGAAGGGCGTGTCAACTTTTACCGGTGCTAATTGACAGGATGTGGTTTTATCAGGACATCCAGAGAACAAGCTCTTCTCTTGTGAAGGGTAGTTCGTTTTTACTGATACTATGTCAAGACTTATGTGTTATTGTGTGTGATGTTTTTTACTGTATTGCATTTCAATGTCCAATGTATGTTGTTCTTTGTTGTATCAATTAAGGAAAGGTCAAAATGTTCAGTCCTCAGTATTCAGTAGTTAGACCTTGGAGTGTGTCTTGACTACAAATGTCCTTCCTGTGGTCTCTCTAGATGACCCCACTGTGCAGGGCCTGGATAAGTCCCGACATATACAAACAGGAGAGATGATCATCATCGTGGTGGTCCTGGTCATGTGGGCAGGTAGGTATGCAGATTGTGTGTACAATAATAATGATTTAGTCTTTAAAAAAGCACTTACAAGAAAATACGTTATGTAGATATGTAGACCCAACATAGGTTAGCTTGGTAATATGATTAAAGGAAGAACATTAAAGGCAATATGGTATTTCCTTTGCGTCGAAAGGAGCCAGTTGAGGTGGTTCGGGCACCTAGTAAGGATGCCACCTGGGCGCCTCCCTAGGGAGGTGTTCCAGGCACGTCCAGCTGGGAAGAGACCAAGGGGTAGACCTAGGACCAGATGGAGGGATTATATCTCTTCGCTGGCCTGGGAGCGCCTTGGGATCCCCCAGTCAGAGCTGGTTGATGTGGCCAGGGAAAGGAACGTTTGGGGCTCTCTGCTGGAACTGCTACCCCCGCGACCCGACCACGGATAAGCGGGAGAAGATGGATGGATGGTATTTCTTCATGGATATACAATGAAACATACCTAAACTGTAAAAGAAAGCGTGCACGTATTTTACCTTAATAAATACAGCAGCACTTTATCGAACACAGTAAGAGGATACGTATATTTTATGGTTACGGTTATAGTAAAAGTCCATATTTTATTGTGTGAATACAACATTTTAGCACTAAAGAAACGCTGTTAGGACAATTTAAGTGTTCTGCTGGTGAGTTTAATTTGTGGTTTGCCCCATTACATTTAGGGAAGTAACAGCCTGAGGTGCTGAAATGAATACCTGTTTACATAAGTGATTGTTTTTAACTGGATGTAGTTAAAAATGTTATTTTCCCACAAATTGACACCTTGCTAGAGGCGTTCATTGTACTTGCAAATTACATTTCTTAAGTTTTAATAGGGCCAATTAATTTATTGAAACTAGTTTATATCATTAGCTATATAACCAAGTCTCTCTATAAACAATCCTAGTAGCCTACTATGTCCTGTTAAAGTAACACATATTTAAATGTGTCCCATCATTAATAGCCTCATTGGAGATATGATCTGATACCTACACATTCAAGGTAAAGCATATCATGTTATTGATTGGTCGGTGTCGATGATGAATTCTGCCAAATCAGCTAAAAGAGAACAGATTGTTTCCACTGGAACTGCAACGTGTAAGCATTTATTGTTAGCCTCAATGATACAAGCTAATTGTGCACACCTGAAAGAGGTTTTAGCGTTTTACACTGCAGATTATCTTGTAGTTACATCAATACATCGACACAACAATCAATACACAGTCATCCAGAACAAGAGCTTTAAGATCCATATTCTGTAGTTAAAGTCTAGAAACCGGAGCATAGATTTTCCCTTCTAGACTTTTGTCAAACCATCATCATGCTGTCCTGTATATTCTCTGCCACGAAGCTCTCCTTCCCTGCGTGAGTTTCTACTCCTTTGAGGAAGTGTGCAGCTTAATGAAGTGTTGAGGCACAATGAGAAGTGGCAGATCTGACAGGCTGCCAGACGCCAGGTTTCACAGAGTATCAGAGTGAGATGTTAAATAATACTAATGAGAGAGACCGAAGGGACATGGAGAATATGAGGAGTGGGAGTGAAGGAATAAAAACACCTCATGTGCCGCGATCATAATGAGCTGCTCATTTCCAGCCGGTCCAGTTTTAAAGTCCATATTCCCTGCTTTTTGGGTTCTAAATCGGCAAAAGATAGTTGTTTTTTTACGCATTTTATCTTTTATTTCTTGCTCTTATCACAATTATTTTTAGGATTTTTTTAAAATCTTTAACCGCTTTTGCCGCTTGTTCTAGGTCCAAAGAAAAAAATAAACAAAACTATAAAGTAATTAGCCAATTGCTTAAAAACGCTGTATACTACTTCGGTGTAGCGAGGTGGTGTTGGTTGAAATTGTGCTTTCAATAAACCATCATCAGCAGTTGTTTTTGCTGAGCTCTTGAGGACAATTGTGACTTTATAACAACATTACAATAAACTGTAATGTGAACCATTTAAATGCAAACTAATCACTTTTCAAATTAAACAAATGCTGCTGCAATTTAATCCAGAAACAAACCATGCCTATCATATAGATATGACATCTAGTTGCAGTGTTGCGAAGCTCTTACAGGACGCATGAATAATAATTTGTCAGTTAATGAATTACACGTGCCTTGATTTCTTGCAGCTACAGTAATGTTCTTTACCAGAACTTGATACCAGGGTCTGAATATTTAATGATGCGACTCTCATAGATATTCATAACCTCACTGAAGCAAGGAAGTTATTTGTGTGCATTACAGTGTTTAGTAAACTGGAGGCAGTGCTGCACCTGGCAGATTTCTTACTGTAGCAAAGCAAACTCCATGGAGAATAACTGTCTTCCAAGCTTTCCGATTAAGGCAGAGCTTCACACTCCCAGAGGAACAGAACCCATTATCCGCATGGCCTTTCAGCGTTAGAGGAAGTGGTGACATGTCTGAGAGTGACAGTCCCCCCGCATCACCGCTGAATTCCTATCCTCATTCGTTTGTGTGTGTTTGTGTTTTTGTGTGTGTGTGTGTGTGTGTGTGTGTGTGTGTGTGTGTGTGTGTGTGTGTGTGTGTGTGTGTGTGTGTGTGTGCCCATCTCTCTCCTCCCCGGCAGCTGTGATTGCCCTGTTCTGCCGGCAGTATGACATCATCAAGGACAACGACTCCAGCAACAGTAAGGAGAAGGCCAAGCCGTCGTCGGAGAGGAGCACGCCGGAGCACCACAGCGGGGGGCTGCTGAGGAGCAAGGTGGGCGGGGTTTCTCTGAATAAAAAGCTATTTTTCATGCAGCTCTATGTGTAAACAAACAGTGTCTCTCTGTGTGACAGTGAGCCAGAGTACACAAAACCACGACCCTGACACTAAATGGAATTCAGCCTAGATCTTACTTATTATTTTCACGTTTCCTCTTCTTATTTAGACGTGTCAAGGATTCCATTTCATGTTCCGTGTCGTGCTGTTGGTAAACAAAATGACCTTCCAGCAGAAATAATTTCACAGTTAAGTGCCCACCTATTGGCACTTAGAAACTGGAAACTCTGTTGTACTGGATATTAAAATGATAACTGTATTTATGTTGGGTGCACGTCGTACATCTGTACAGGCTGGGTAACTAAGAGCTCCACTATGCCATGATTAATGATGGATTTGTTAGGAGATGATTGATCACTTCCAAAATGCTGCCCAGGTATGGTGTACACATCAGCTCCACACTTTTGCTGACCTACCAAAGCTCTCTCTTGTGCTTTATTCGCCAAATAATCTCATAATAAATAGATTAGGCACGAGCAGCTGAAATTTAGATTCGAGGCAGAAAATTTACATTTTATTTGATTAAATAATGGAATTTGCATGTGGAGAAATGTGGAGAATGCTAATGTATGGTTAATTAGAAACTAGGTTTTCACTTAAAGTAAAAACAAATCTTGAATCGAACCTAGGAAGACAGAGGATTATGGTAATCACTGCTAAAAATAGAATATACCAGGTCATGGTTAAAGTGTAACCTTTTATTAGTTAGATGCTTTTGTCATTAACAGCACACAGACAACACTGTTGCCGGAACACATTTAGACAATACAGGCTATTTGTTCAACTTTACCCCGATTGGTTTAATCCCATCTGAGGAGATATTTAGAACATCTGATATAGAAGGCAACATCTTCCATCACATTTCCACTGGGAGAAAATAAAACCTAATGGTGTTTTTCCTGCAGATCCTGGAGATCTCCAAGGATTCTTTTTCTCAAGCTGCAGTTTCTGGAAATAACATTAAAGCAGCATGTCTGTTATGGAAGATATATATTGCATGATCTATAATAGGACAGAAATGGTTGGTTTAATGTTGATGCTCTAGGATTCTCAGTGGTCAATTCAAGAATAGACAAGTCCATGCCTGAAAGATAGAAAATCGAGTCACAAGTAAAGCTTTGAGTTTGACTATAAACGTAAAGGAAAACAGTGGACAGATGTCCTCAATAATGAGGCTGTGGCCGATCAATAGAAGAGGTCTTTAACATTGTGTGTGTTGACCTCTGGCTGAGATTTAAACTAGCATCATATTGAATTTAAATTTAAATAAGCTGAGGGACAATCGTTTCAGGATGCCTCATTGTGTTTGGCTTATCTCTCCTTCCAGTCCTCATTAGGAGGTCAGATGTTATGCAAGGTCTACGATCAGTCAATTGTGTACATGGTTAAACAAAAGTCTTAGAGGGGTTTCATCTCACCAAAGAGAAAATATACCACTTTGTTTTAAGTTAAATCCCCCTTTCTGATTGGCTTGCAAGCAAAAATGACAAGGGTACTTCTCGAGCTGTGGATGGAGATATTCGGATAGGGGGCATTTTATTCTCATGACCCAATAAACTGACTTGGTATTCATATTTCACAGTTTGTAAAAACATGAGAAAGTAAAATAGTATGCTAACCATGATGTCCTTCATCTTTTCTGTTGCAGTTTCATCCTTCTGTGCCGTCTATCAACATCATTGAGGTTTGAGAAGAAGCAAGACAACGTTAAATGGCTCTCTCTTCTAACATCAATGCATTCCTCCACCTTTGTCACTGATGAGAAAACATGTGTAGTGGATCGGGTTGGCTGAAGCTGTGTTTGCAAAATGCACCCGGCATTTGTAGGAAAACACCTAACTACATGTACACACATACTGTATCTACATGACCACACATAGACACACACACATTACAGTACAGTAGCTACTCCTGCAGGTAGATAGGACACAAACTAATGTTAACCCATGGTGCCGTTAACACTGATGACTGCCAGCCACTTGGTAAGTTATTGCAGTATAAAAAGACACGATCATCTCTGGGAGGCCGGTCTTCATGACTTTAAAGTCGCAGTGTATTTTTGATATCGGCATGTGCAGTTAGACACCACGTTCACCTGGTATAGGCAACTCAGCTCTTAGTAAATCCACATTTTCCCATTGCATATATATATATATACATATATATACATATATTCATCACACCTGTATGTTATCGTACTGCTTAGGGCAGCTTGGTCAAAGGGAGAGAAGCAAACATGTATTCATTTGTAAGAACCGCCACAGTGTACATTGGTCTTAAGTTTTCTAATGATATTAAAATTATATAACATTGTATTTTTCCACATTTCATACTGTTTCATAATGTATGTTACATTTATTTCATTCATTTTCTGCCAACGTTGGCATGCCGGTCATTTGCCTGTAGAGTAGCATTTGATGTGCTGTTCTAAGGTTCCATACAATGGATGAATAAACTGATTGCAGTCCCTTGAAGATGTTCATGTTTTCTTCTATTCCGACTGCTTTTAGAAAAGGAACATTGTCTTTTTATGCACCCCCAAAGCGTTCACACCACTACACACACCCACACCAACACAACACACACAACACACACACACACAACCACACTACCACCACCACATCACACACACACACACACACACACACACAACACCCACACACACACACACACACACCACACACACACACACACACACACACACACCAACACACCCCCACACACACACCACACCCACACACACACACACCACACTCATCGATTTAAACAAAAATGCATTGTGTGCATTAAATGTTGGCTGAGACTACAGTACAGTAGAAAACAGCACTTTACGCACAAAATACTTGCCAAGTCTAGTTACAAAAAGTGTTTGAACGCACCTCCTACAAATGAATTAGGTAATGATAAGGCGGTTAAAATCAATCATCTCTCACTTCCATTTCAGGTTAAAAAAAAAACACTCAGTGCAAAATCCTGACAGTATTTTATGCACAACGCCAATATGTTGAACACAATGTATTTAGAGTGTGTGCCTCCTGTGCTTCATGATTCCTTAAAGAACTTTTAAAACAGTAGTTCATCTTAATTATATGGTAAGAAATAAAGCATAAATAAAAATCCGTAACCGTAAAATCATGATATTTTGAAGAAACTCTCTCTCGATTGTAGGTCATTCTCTTTGTCTGCTTCTTTTATCTGTGTTTCTAAACTTCCCACACTGCAGAATTATTACACTTTTAATATTTGATGACGTATAGCTGAATCCAGAATAGCCTATGATCTTCCTTAGTTCAGATCCATATTCTTCAATGAAAGACTGCAGTTATTTTTCAAAATGATAGGTTTTGCGACTGTACAGAAACCAGTTGATGTGGAAGGTAATTGTATGTGATGTAAGAGTTAGAAGGCAGGGATTTTGAAAAGACTTACTCCTGTCTTGTTAAAGTCAATTTGAGAGCTGGCCCTACTTGTCGAGTCAAAAGCCTTGATGCTCTCAGATGTTCTGTTCTTTGAACACGATTGACTGGGAAAAAGCTCAGTCGGTCTATATTTGTCAAATGATTAAATGAGTCTTGTTGATAACAAACACACAGAAAGCTACTGTATATATTTACTCAATAATACAACCCCCATTAATAACTCAAATGTCAGTTTTACCACCAACAACATTCATACAAAATGAAGCAGAAGTTACGAGACAAGATTTTCTGCGGAACAATTTCAATACGCCAACCATCTGTCCTTTAAACTCCTTAATCATAAATGCAATTAGAAAGAAGTACCTAAGAATACAGCTCAAACTAAAATAGAAAGTGATTACAGCCTTGCGGGGGATTAATAGCTAATATTCGACACCCTCCCATTCTCCTCCCTCAACTTTGTCTCAGTGCAGCGCTGCAGTCTTCTTCCCATTAGTTTGCTCAGGTGATTTATGGGCTGTTGTTGTGGCTGAGATAAGCTTTATATAGATGTTATTCAGAGACGGAAGAATATACTGCATCTATAAATAAATTGATTTATAAATATAGGTTTGTCACAGGAGTCTACTTTCATTACTGTACTGCACTGGTCCCTGTGCAGAAATATACTGTAAGCAGCCTCTCTGCCCTCCATGTGAATCTTGCTTCGACCTTATAAAGGAGAACAAGAAAGCCTGACATGAGAATACAAGCAAGACACGTTTTGAAATTCACTTTAAAAACAACCTATTACTGATAATGATTCCTGGGTTATTCAGAGGTTAAAGGTTTGTTGAAGGTCAAACGCTACAACCATTAGAGTGAATGAAGCCATTAGAGCAGTGTGGAACACCTTATCGGTAGAGAATTAGTCATTGCAAAATGGTAGCCAATTAGCAATTAATGACACAGTTATGAATAGTAAATGTTCCTTCGCCGGTCCCAGGACACCACGGACAAATTAGACATTGTTACAGAAACCAGTTGACTTACCGTTCATATCAGCCCCAACGTTAAAACTCCTGAAATAGAATCTGTTGAATTATGAACAATATCAGAGAAGATAATAGAGAATCGCTTTACCGCACCGTTGTGACGAAAAGGGATCTGAGCCAGAAGGCAAAGCTCTCTGTCTACCGGGCCATTTTCGTTCCTACCCTCACCTATGGTCATGAAGGATGGGTCATGACCGAAAGAAACGAGATCGCGGATACAAGCGGCCGAGATGGGTTTTCTCCGCAGGGTGGCTGGTGTCTCCCTTAGGGATAAGGTGAGAAGTTCGGTCATCAGGGAGGGACTCGGAGTTGAGCCGCTCCTCCTTCGCGTCGAAAGGAGCCAGTTGAGGTGGTTCGGGCACCTAGTTAGGATGCCACCTGGGCGCCTCCCTAGGGAGGTGTTCCAGGCACGTCCAGCTGGGAAGAGACCAAGGGGTAGACCTAGGACCAGGTGGAGGGATTATATCTCTTCGCTGGCCTGGGAGCGCCTTGGGATCCCCCAGTCAGAGCTGGTTGATGTCGCCAGGGAAAAGAAAGTTTGGGGCTCTCTGCTGGAACTGCTGGAACTGCTGGAACTGCTACCCCCGCGACCCGACCGGATAAGCGGGAGAAGATGGATGGATAATAGAGAATAGCTGGAACTCTGCTTGTAATGTTTTTAACTGCAGAGTGCCTTGTAAGAAAAAAGCACATCAGAAAAGATTAAGTAAATTACACTACAAAAAATGTCTTTAACATGAAAAAGCAGCGTTTAGCTATTATGCCCCGACAATCTGGAACAAACTTCCTGAATCATGCACGTCCGCAGAAACTCTTACTATTTTCAAATCGAGACTGAAAACATGTCTTTTTGCCACTGCTTTTAATTGAACTGCTCATATTCACACTGCAGTTTGCTTTTTATTCATGTATTGTATAACTGTTGTGTTTATCTTATTATCTTTGCATTTTGAATGCCTGTTGTAAAATGCCGTTATATAATGTGTTTTTACTGTAATTATTCTTAAATGTTTTTTATTTTATTTTGTAAAGCACTTTGAATTGCCGCGTACTGAAAGGTGCTATATAAATAAACTTGCCTTGCCTAATGTTTACTGAAATGATCAGCAGAAGGGCCGGGATAAATAAAGTGCTTGTCTTCACAGCGGGCTGTTGTGGTTTAATTGGCTCTTCTTGAAGATTATTTGTTGATATGTGTTACTTCTCATTATATTGTGCTGAAAGACAACGTGTATACATGCAATTATACTGGGTATGACAGTAAAAGCTTAGAGTTTAACAAAACTCATGGTCTAATTCAATAAGAAAAATAAGTGCTATTAAATGTTTGTACAAAGTATTTTATTATGCATAAATATGTAACAAACCATAACAGTTTCCAAATGCTGTACACCTTTTTTACACAGTTTAGATCAACTGCTTGTGGTTTATACACAAATTGCTATTATGATCACAACAGTGTTAGAAACCCACTAATTGCATAGATAGAAAATAAGCACCATATTTGAAAAGTAAACCCATCTTGTAAACATCATGCTTATTTTGGGCAACAATAGCTTATCTGAAAAACTCTGAAAGCCTCAAATGTTTTCTGACCTCAAACCCTCGCGGACCGATCTGTATTCAGAGCACCCCCGACTCAAATTGGCATGTGATACCTCCCCTCCTCCCATCACGCATGGAAAGTGCTCGGCTGTGCCAGAGCACCGCATCCATTCAAGATTCACAGGGGATACGTGAGCTACAGAATCCTAGACACAGGAAATAAAGCTCTTAAATCAGGCAGATCAAGTTTTGCCAAAATACAATTTATAGAGATGAATCTACTTAAAGAAAAAGCCCAAAGGGACTTCGCTTCAAAGTAAAATCATTTTATACTTCTTTCTTTGTTTTAAAGTCAATCAAAATGACTGGGTATATTCAATAGTTACAACAAAGGTCTCTGCATTGGCTAATTAAGCATTTTTTCTCAAAACTTGTACTGTTTTATGTCGTTATTGGAAACCAATTCCGTGTCCGAAGGGTGCTGGACAACAGCCCATCTCTGAATATCACTCCAAAGCACTGAATCAGCAGAAACTGAAACAGTTAATCAATGAGTGAAGTCAATGACGGAGCTGAAACGGTGGGGAAATGTTGGGAAAATCACTTCCACTCCAGAGGAAAATGTTCAACTGTAAGGTGAAATAACGATGCTGCATTTTTTAGTCACTACTGAGGTTATTTATCATATGGGATGGAGTTTTGTTTTTTTAAAGATACATTGGAGGCTGCATTTCAGCCAGTCAGGAATGAAACAATGCAATTAAGCTTCATGGCGTAACCTGATAAGCCATCCAATTATTCTGTAGCGGGTGTCATGACAACAGTGATGATGCCCTGAATACAGAGAGAAGGACCACTTCAGCCAGGCTGGGGCACAATATAATATCCTCACGACAGCAAAACGTCATCCAAGCAGCGGATACAAATAATTTGCCGCGTCTAAGGAGGGCAATAATTGTTCTATGATGAGGTTAGGGACAAAGACGTGTCGTGTGGCACAGATTACAGCGAACAGAGGCAGATGTGAACTGTGCCGATCAATGCAACAGGTGATTACTTTGAGAGAAGGACTATATTTAAAAAATATTCCTGCAGTGATAAAAAGAAACATGTGATTACATTTGTATAAATTGTCTAATCTAATGCAAAACATACAAGCAACAACAAGAGTGATAATTACCTTTTGAAAACAACATGTGTGAAGCCCTGAATCTATTCATCCTACTTCCTTTGTGATGATACAATATGCTTACATAAATTACTCTGACATTGAAAAAATACAGCATATGGAAATATGTTTCTTTACTCTAGTAAATAGTTGGCCTCGCCATACACTCGTCCTCAGAACCTCCAATCATCGCTATTCTGTAACACCATCTTTATGTACAGTGGCAAATGACTGATGTAATGTATTGTAAACTATTCATTACATTATAAAAGTCATATTCATATAAGACAGCATTGAAGTAGAGTGTTAGAGGAATGTCAGTCGGTTTCTGTGAGACAGGTCTGCCGTTGATTTGAGTGGAACACGATTGTGATATTTGCAAACACTATCTATTAACATTGTTCACATAAAGCAGCACAAGGGTTACTCAATTTGATTACTGAATCATACACATTTCTCACAAAAGGAGGGTCATCCTATGTGTATTTTTTAAATGTATTTAATATTTCTAAATCAGACAAAGATGTGGTTCTCTAAGAGGGGCATGGCAGTATAGCTTGCTTGTTATGAATAGCCGAGTCTGTGGATACTGTATGTTGTGTCGTGTGGTTTAATATACTGCAAAAGTAACCTGATGTCATAATATGTAATCAGTTATCTACTTTGTTATGTTCACAAATCAGTGGAATATGTGGATGTCTAATAAAATATTCCTTTAAGTTGTCAATGGGTTTATGGGAAATGTAGAATCCATTGTTATTGGAGCTTGTCCGATAAAAGAGAGTGCATGTGAGAAAATCTCTGCTGCTCACATTTTTATCTGAATTTGGTTTATTTGTTTGCTTGAGTTTGAAGCTTCACTCCTGAGCTTCCAAAGCTTTTATCAACATCTCATGGCCTTCTTCAGCAGATTAAGTTACTCAGTTTCCATGGTGATTGTTCGCTTTGTTATCAAAATACCCAATTCCTGTTTTGGGCACCTGGTGGATGAAAACATGAAAAGGAATGCTGTCGTAAGATCATTAATATTTCTATTGTTTGATATTGTTTTTATTATTTGAGGTAACCCCCACCGGATCACCTGCTGCATAACAAACTAAATCAAGAAAGCCAAGAGATGAGGTTAACGTCATTAGATACAGAAAGTAGGCAGTACTTATTTAGGGACTTTTGGGCCTTAAAATAAACATTTAAATTGGGATTTGTTGGCAATAAACACTGTACCCCATTCTCTAAACATCACATGTATGCTTCTTTCAAATATGGTAATTTCCAAGGTGGATCCTACTGTAGATGCTTCTTTGTCTTTACATGACATTTCACATTTCAGAAAGAGGTGACAGTCTCATTGTATGTACACATCGTTTTTGTTGGTTTTTACATATTTGGAATATAAAGAGACTTGTTGGTCTCTTCCGTCTGTGTGATGACTCATCTTGCAGTGCTGTGTTGCACGTTGTGCCTGTCATAGCAGTTAGAGTATGGCTGAATATGTCCGAGTGGAGTGTGTACTGGCACACATACATTCAGAGCAGTTTCTAATATCAAGGTATCCATTCTGCCCTCTCTGCAGCAGCCAGAGGAAATCAATGCGTGATATGGTTTTGTCTGTTTGGGGTTTGTTGTTGGTCTCCAGGCCTGGGGGGTCTGAATTCACTGTCATTTTTCGGTGGTGCTGTACATTGGGCAGCTTTTGCCAGTTATTCAAACTCATTGTGGCAGATGGTTAACAAATTGTGGTTGTAGACTTCCCAGGGACTCAGATCTGCATGGTCAGAGATGAGTTGGGAGCAGGACTCGGCCAGTCTGACAGAGACGGAAAGACAGAAGAAAAGATTGCCACAGAGGTCAGAGGCAGTGAATATTTATTTGTCATGAGGGTTGACCGGATAAGCAGAGGTTAAAAACGGAGAGAAGAAGGGATACGATGTAAAATGACGGGAATGACAGGGAAGGAGCGGGAAGGAGCGGGAAGGAGCGGGAAGGAGCGGGAGGGCAAACATACAGAGCCATGAGAGGATTTCTGTTTCTGATGGAAAAAATAAATGCTAAGACAAAATGTTGAACTAAGGTATGGATAACTCTTAATCACTTATTTTCAAGAAAAAAAACACAAGATTCTAAAATTGAAATATCTGTCTTTAGGTTGTGAATCTAATTTGATGTCAGGACTCATAATTGATTCAGGATTTAGTACTTTTGCTTATTTCAGGGAAAACTCCAGTCTGCTTTGCACTAATCAACGTAGTTTGGCTAATGATAGTGTGAGAGAAGAGTTAAGTGTATACAGTTTTCATATTTGAAAAGCTTTTATGAATTTGTGTGCAATAATTGAACAGACAAAGGCAAACCCGAAGCGAGAAAGACATTTTTTCTCAATTATCAGTGACTTCAAGAATAATGAGTTTCAAGTTAACCAAAAATAAAAACGGTGGTCTCCTTCATTAATAAGACGAGGGCTAGCTGCTTGTTTGTTTCTCAAAAACTCGCCAATTTCACAGGGAAACTGGTATCTGTTTTTTCGTTTTCAACATATCACACAAGAATGCTTGACATCACAGTGACCTTGTAAGATGAGAGCTACTGATTGAATGATGTGCTTAATACTAATGTTTGTACAGAGCAAAAGTGGAAGAGTCCTGTGCAGAAATGAGGGGTATTCTACATGAAAGGCAACATGCAGTACCGAGCATATAAGTCACATGCCGTCACTTACCGGTGTCCATCTCCTCTACTTCCATGTTGCTGCATGCCAGGTAGAAAAAGAAAACCATGACTATGCGAGTCAATAGCAAAGGGTAATATATGTAGAAATGCTGAGAATGTATGCAGTTTGAACTAGATACAGTTTACAGAACGGACAGCGACACTACCTCATGTTAACGTGCACGCCATGTGATGCAAAGGCAAAACCATACATCATTTTAAAGACACACTCAGAAAAACTTAAAATTGTAACAGCAATAAAAAAGAACCTCATTTTGATGAGGTCAAAAATATTTAGCTACATCAGTACCAAGCCAACTGCTGCTCATTTAACTCCAAGGTCACTATTAATTTAAAAAATCTCAAATACAAATGAAACCATTTAATAAACCCATTTGAACTGAAGCTGGTGTCAAGACACATTGCTCTGGTTATAAGCAACGAGGCTTCACTTGAATAACTATATACTATTCTATCAATTGGATTTCTTTTCACAGAGGCCTAAACCCTGACCTGTTCTGGAGCTAATCATTCAATGCTTCTTCTGAGGTTGGTAGGGCTGCATCAGTAGAAGACTGCATGCGACCCTTTGACTGTGCTGCTACTTGGAATAAAGACATTTAAGTGGAATGGAAACCACAGATCAACCAATTAACCCTTAATGCCATTTTCTATTCACAGATTCAGATGTAAGTAAGAAAGTGGCTCAATATGTCATGTGATGGTGGTTTTATACACAGGAGAGATAGCCAACACACCAAACCTTAAGGATAACAAAACAAGTATTTGTATATTATCCAATGTGTGCCAACTCCTATTGGGATTGTTTAATGTTATAAGCTACACAAAGCTCTTAACATGTCAGAACAGTTGGGAACCAATCAGTTGTAGATGCAGATGTACTGTAGAAAAGTCAACCGTCAAACGCTGAAATGGTTTGTTTCTATGTATTAATGTGAGGCAGTAGATGTTTGTGGAGAGATGAGGCCATTATGTGTTCATCTCTTCAAAATGCATGATCAATGGTTTGTTAAATCTGTTTCCTAATCTATTTCCTTGGCACAATTTGCTGTTATCAAATCGCCAACTTCTCCACCTGAGCCAAGTGTAAAATCTCTTTTGGGATTTTTGCCACACACGTTGATGATGCACATAAAATGAGGTGCATTGAAACCATGACAGTACATACAAAAGTGATCCCTGAAAGTTAACAAACAATTCTCGAAATTCAGAGAGAGCACACAGGGCAGGACGCACATCTGTCAAGGCTCCTTAAGGTTCCTCGAGACAGGGTACCAACAACCCTTCTGTGCCAATCTACTCCTAAAGTCACATCACAGCAACACTGAGGATGTGCGACAGCCCTGACAGCTCCACGTGACCCACAGTCCTCCAGCTCTCAGGTCAGATCTTATCCTCCTTTTGTGCCCCGCCACAGCAGAGCCTGACCTCCTCGCTGACCTCTGCAGAGGAGGTCTGCTCTAACACTGCCCAAAAAACCGCTTCCTCTCTAGGATGTCAGATTAAGATCTAAGTGTTCCACCTCCCTAAATTTGACATCCACACTCGAGGTCAGTATTTCCTCCTCTCTGCTGAGAAAAGCCTCGGGGATGACCTGCCTTCCTCTTTTGATCTCCTTCCACACGCAGACAGCTTCTACATTCACTTCTGTATATAATATTTACCCATTTGGCTTCAAGTGTTGCATGCTTTAACACAGCAAACACATCTTTTAGCCGCAGGCAACACCATTTAATGAGTTGCAATCCCTTTAAAGTGTGAGGCACCATCCCTTTGCTGCTCTTTTTTGTATGTAGTGATAATACAGTACTGCAGGACACATACACACAGATCAGCTGGTTATATCAGGATATGAAAATCTATGCCGAGGGCTCAGATACCACTGACCCGTTTGGCTGGTTTCAAACCATTTTTGAGGCACATTATACCATGTATGTCACAGGGACTACATGCATGATGAAGTGTTAAATCATATCATGTTCACAGTGTTTTCTGGGCTACACTCACCGAGACTCAAATTTCACATTTTAGTCTCTCTGCAGGCGTCTCACTGCAATTTCACAGACCGCCACACTCTCAAAGAAAGTACAACAAAGGTGTGGCATTGTAATCTTTGTTCAGAGATGAAATGCTGGTGCACTGTGGAGCGCCCTTCCTGGCTTCAGTCTCCGTGCTCCTGAGTGTGTGTGTGACAGAGCCAACAATAGTCTATTCACAGGCATTGTTGTGCAGTTATTTATAATACGGTATCAAAGCTAATCAAACAAATTAACTGCCCTCAATTAATGCTTGTAATGATTTGCAGTAAAGTTAATGGCTTACAGAGTTGCAGGAGTCAGGCTGTTTTATTGAGATGCTTCAACGTAACACTTCCAAGGTAGTGGATCAAGTTATCTCCAACTACTTGAAATGATCATTTATTTCGATTCACTTAGAGCTGACAGCTGCTTAGCTCTGAAACTGCCTTGCTTTTATTCAGCTCTGATTTAAGACACAACAAATAAGTACAGGTGTTGAGTTTTGACCCGTCTTGCTTACAGCAGATCATTTCTATAGGTTCATTTTATAAAATCTTACCAAATGCCTCAAAACTGACATCATGTTCAACACCTCACCAGTCAATCTCGAGTCGTAACATATGTATCAAACACCAATCTATTTAAAATACTTATTCTTTCTACGTCTACTCATTGACATAGATGCAATGCCTCTTTTTGTAAGGAGTTACCTGTGAAAATTAGACTGTTGCATGTGTGTTGCCTTTCCGTGTGTTTATACATGTCAGTCAACGTGTCACTTGAAGGTTTTCTTATTCAAAAGAGTCCGAAAGGTGACTGACAGCTGACAGTCACCCTCAATGCAACCGTCATCCTTTAAAATAGCTCCACAGTATAAAGAGGTGATGTTCGGAACTTAAATCAACATAACAATGGTTTCATACATTTGGTTTTCCGGGGAGTATTTGTTGCTCGAGAACAATCCCGTCTCCTTTCCTAAATAAAATAATATATCCCTCAGTGCTCTGTTGACTCTAAGTATTATGAATAAGGTTACCTTGAAAACGGATCATCGAGTCCATCGTCAACATCCTGTTGGGACATGAACAATAACAATCAATAAACACATACATTACTTCAAATGACAATCCTGCTGAGTCAGCTGCTGTCACAACTCATTTCCTCTGATTTCCACACTAATTAAGAGCTAAATAATTAAATATTGCATATTTCAGATGTTTCATGTTTTCTTATGTTACAATCACCGTGACTGTATGGCAATATTGCATGACTTTACATACGGGGAAAGTCTGGAAACATTTGGAAGGGATAGATTTTTGGTTCTCTGTAAGCAAGTGATCAAACCTATTTAAAAGCGATTCATTTTCTTATGATAAAATAAATATAACTGTCAAATTAGGACTTGAAATGATATTCATTATAACCAGAAGCAATGCAAACATGAAGGAATTATAAAAAAGCACAACACTAGAGAGGAGAGTATTAGAATAAAGTTGGGTGAGGCAAATATGTTAGACTGCATGAGATCAGCCTGCAGAGACATCATCATGAATATGCTGCCACCTAGTGTTCAGAAAATGCAAGTAAACAAAAACTGGCAGCTTCTGTAGCATGACGATTTCAAATGATTTACACATTACCTTTACGCTCTGATTGTTGCTAACTTATCTACTTAAAACAGTCCCATTTTTAAGGATAAGAAACGTTGTGGAAGAATTAGTTCATAGTCCACAGCTAAGCACCCTTAGACAAGTTCATTGTATCAATGTCAGTCCATCACATGTATCAATGAGTTGGAATAATTCATGTACACAACATGGCATTGATACAGTATAATGCTAAGGTGACGTATATCACTGTACTGGCCTAATGTATAGGGCATTTTTGCAAACAGACTGTATTTCCAAACTGTGTGGGCAGAACCATCTTTATTCTGATCGAGTCATCTGTCATAATTAACTGTTAAATGTTGATATTTTTTGTTGTTTTTTTGCTTAGATGTCTCGGAAAAGGGAATTCAGAAGCAAGGAAACTGCCTCAAAATCAAGGTACGTTTTATCATGGAAGCTATCAAATTAAAAACCATACTAAATTAGTTTTATGCAGTGAGCTATATAGGTTTAAAACTCAGGAAAATGCCAGTACTAGTGTTGGTTAAACATCTTGAGTTGTTGTCTTGGACTTGTTATCATGTAACAAGAAGTTGGATAACATCCAACCTAACCATACAAACTGATTTAATCTCTGCTTTCGGCACAATCAGCAGTTTTGGTGAGACCTACCCAAGAGTCGTGTTTGATTGGTCGTCTTCGAGTCGGGTTACTGCGAGGCGAGGGCGAGCTGAGTGACGCGGAGAAGAAGGGCCTCCGGAGCTTCTCCTCCATCACAAGTGGCTTGTGTTGCTCTGGATCCGAGGGTCAGGGGGACAGGTGAGACAGAGGGGGACAGATGAGAGGGGAAAGGGACGGGACACATACAGCAGAGAGAGAAGAAGAAGACGCTTGTCAGCTTGTTCCGTCTCTTTAACTCTGCAGGTAAACATCAGATCCAGCCTGTGGTGCTCACAGCTTCCTCTGCAACAGGCAGAATTTAAAACAGTCTGAAAAACGTTCATACGTCTTTCTGTCTCGACCTACTCCTGTGATCCTTAAGGCTTCACATCACATTTTCTCTCTGTCCTCGGGCTACTGGAAGTGGAGCTACTTTTAATTGAGCTGGACAGACAGCCTTTAACTAACCACACACTGAATGGATGATTAGGTCTCATTTGCAGACACTTTGACCCCTTCAGGAGTGGGAGACATTTGACTTATAAATGTCACGGCCATAGGGAAGTACTTAAGGTTTACTCTGACTGAGTAGTGAGTGGCAGATCATTAGGTGAATTATCCCAAGTGTATGTGGGAATTGATTGACGGAAGTTAAATGTGTGCTAAAAATGACTCGTCGTGGTTTGCACACAAGGTCAATTTAAAGTCACTATGCAACAGACTATAGTAGCGTTGACTTATTCATGTTTGCTAGATACTGTTGGGTTTACGAGGATTATAAAAGCCTTAAGTCTCGAGAAATGTGATCTTTTCTCACTCTAGATCTGCATTTCATTGCCTTCTCATTTCAGTGGCAATATGTTATGGTTTATTTTTATTGGAAAAATCGATGATAGTCATCTTGCCTTTTCTTTATCTCCTGGAATTACAACACCTCAATTCATCTTGGCCTTACCGATAGCAATTCTAAAGTCTGCAGTAAATGTAACCAATAATAAGACTGTCTGTATAACATTCAATATTATAATCAAATGAGCAACACTCAAACATATTGATGAATGATGGGAAAGCAATTGGAGGCAGAAAGCTGTAGAAACACCAACCTGAATGAAAGCCTATGACGAGATCAATATGTGGAGTTGTTTTTCTGCTTTAAAGTGCTGTCAATTGCCACAATATGCATACCTCCCAGTAAGCTCAGTGTGGATAAGAAGCCGTCGGCTCTTGAGAGCTGGTAAGAGCCAGGTGTTATTTGTGAGTGAAGCTTTGCCTGTATAAACAGTTTTCACCAACACATCTGGCAGATAGAGACTGGAAGACATATTTTGGGGAAACAGCAGTATTTTCATACAGTACATGCTAATGTTATGTGTAATGAGTTTATCTGTTAAACAGCATCTTTTGTATGCTAACGTTAATGGTTCAAAACCTTTATTTATCCAGGTAAAATCCCATTGAGATCAATGATCTCTTTTTCAAGGGAGACCTGCAGCAGTAGGTTCCACAAGAAGACATAAACAACAGAACAACAAAAGGACATCATACAGCAAAATGTACAGGGATTACAATTTACATATCTAACCACAAGTACAGGTACCAACAGCATCTGATTTTGTAGCATCCAACCGAGCTTTAAAAACATGTAGTGGTACTAGCTTGGTAATTTTCCATTCTTTTTGCAGACTGTTCCATGTTAGTGGAGCTGCACATCTAAAAGCTTTCTTCCCTAAGACAGTCCTAGCACTTGGCACATTTAATAAAACCACAGCATGCGATCTCAGGCAATAAGTACTTTCAATTCGAAACACACACCGGTTATTTCTCACTTACTGTAGAGCTGACCTTGTGTAGTGTCTGTTAGCATTATCACTTCGACTTGACCCTTTCTGACTGGTAACAATATATGCTAGCTTTCCAGAGGACGGATGTCTATGACGAGAGTATGAGTTGTTGTTAAAGAAAAACTTGGGAAATGGGAGGAAGAGTGCCACTTACACATTTGCCTCTGGAAAGTATGTTTACCTTCCAGCAATATGTTCAAGTCCTTATTGAAATTCTACCTCAATGCTACATGCATTGTTTGCAGTAAAAACAACACATCTCTATGCTAAGCTAAGCTAAGCTAAGGTAATTGCATACTGGCTCTAGCTTTAGATGTCATAAACCAACATGTGTTTTCTCATCTAAAACTCTGAAAGAAAACAAATCAGTATTTTTCCAAACTTTCCCCTCAAATCCCTCTATTAAATAGTGTGTTGATTATTCCCCAAATACGAAACCATGCTTTATAGAAAGCCACTGAAATTAAATCCTAACCTTCAGGAAACCTTTTCATTATTGCAGTTAAAATGATGTAATGTACAGAGAGAGGCCCAGTGGGAAATGAAAACATGAAGAGAACGTACCAGAAGGAATACACTGAGGGCCTGCTGTCTCCGTCTGCCCTTTGCTGGCTGCACAAGAACAGCAAGTCCTGGCCTTCTTGCTTTTGTCTGCAGACAGAAAACACTTCTTAAAACTTGACCTGAAGAAAACAAGATGATCCAGCTATGTGATAGAAATGAAATGTGATCATATTTTAACTTTTGGTTGTCAGCAATTATTCTTAATTGAAATCGTATGAGGAAAGATGATCTCAACTCATATGTTAGCAAAGGTCTGATAGAGGGTGTCGTATGCTGTACACATTGTAAAGCCCTCTGAGACAAATGCGTACTTTGTGACACAGGGCTATATAAATAACATTTCATTGATTGAATGATTTTTTCTTAAAACATAAAGTAAAAATGTAACTACTTCCTGTTCAGTGAACTCACCTTCCTGAGCAATCTCCCAAAGATCAAGCGCTACTTTAAAAGCCTGCGCTACAGTTAATGTCACAGCCTGAGCCTGGAGACAAGAGAAGGGGAAAAAACTGAGTAAATGCGACAAAAATAGCGAAATATAAAATGTAATAATTAGTTAGGACTCAATAAAATGCTTTGTAATAAAACGGTACAAATATTAACCATGTATTAGTTGCTAAATACTAGCATATTAGTATTACATCTAATATAATCTTTGTTAAACACATATTAACGCATTATTCTGAATGACCACATACCACAACTACTAGGACATTTATTAAGGGTTTGATACGAAACTAATGTAGTAAATGGTTCATATGGGTACCATAGTATAACGTGTCACTGAAAATGTTTCCATAACATCTTTACTCTGATATTTTAACCATCTACTGTGATATATAGATTTATCTGCGTAAGAAGTAACCATTTGTTATAATAAGCTGAACTATTACTACGACAAAACCATTTCTAATCTTATCAATTTCTCAAAATATGTGTGACCAACAGTATAAGAGCTGTAAGGTGTGCTGCCACTAGAGGGAGCCACACACTAGCTACATTTATGCTCTGCTGCCCAAAACCCAATGAACCTTGTAAACTAATTCCTTAAATAATCAGATTTGAAGACCTGCTTAAGCCCAAGAGTTTTCTGTACATCAAGCTAAACATAGCTTTATACAAACGGGTATTTATAACAAATTCACAACTGTGGCACACTTACAATCTTCTTCTTTTGGCAGAGAAACGCATGGCACTCCAGGGTCTCGTTGAACTGACTCTGAGAGACATATGCGAAGACTTTATCCTGAGTTTTATCTGCTGTGCAGTACGAGATTCTGCAAGAAAAAGAGAGACAAACAACATTATTCAAATGCACTAACACCATTAACCCGCTTGAAATAAGTGCATCCGTGATTATAGATGAGCAAATGCAGCCAACGGCAACCAATTTATAACATGAATGAAAGAATAAGACAAAGATCCTTTTTAATCACAGGACACACAGGCAGAACAAAGGACACCATGAGCAGTGTATCATCTGCTAGCTCGCACTCTTAATCCCTCCTCGTACATCAAGGTAAGCTGCACTGCATGTCGGTCCAGGCCATACCTTTGCTTTTTGCTCTTGCCATATGCATAAGCAAACCGATTGCAGGATGAGATACGCTGCTTTTGAATATGATGCTGCTGGAGTCCCACAGCTGGGAACAGAGGAGGAGCAGCAGTGCCACCATGAGAGAGGCTTGAAGCTTTGACTGGGCTTTTCACTACTTTATATGTCCAGATAATGTGTGTTATTATGCAAAAATCGACTGACATTTTTTGCTTTGTACATTTAAGGTTTTCCATGAAAGACTCAGACGGAAAATTGACTCTGACTCATGGTCGCTTTTTATTATAAATTCTGCATACAAAACATGAATAAAAGAACATCAGCCACTCGACAGGGTTCCTACACAGTTCCCATTTCATAGTTTTTCAGACTTTGAAGTGGATTCTCAGACCATATTTGGTTTTGGGACTGGTTTTCTGCTCTAAATACCATAAGCACTCTGCCAGCATGATACTTTTATTAACAGAAATGCACTATTTAAAGATTCAAGGCTTGTATTGTCATTCGTACATAGCTACAGTGTAGTTATGTAGTCAATGAAAATCTTAGGTCACGGGCTCCTCCCACAGTGCAACACATACAACTGATAGAATAGTGCAAGTAAATACAATAAAATAGAAATAGTGGAGAATAGTCTATATACAAGCAATTGGAATATTGATATAAGTTGCAATAAATAAATAAATCTAAGGACAGTCTTGAAATACAAATATTTCCCATACCAATCCAGACATGGAAATCTCTCAAATCAAAGCGCAAAGTATCCCTGATACTACAAAGGCACGTGAAACCGCATGACATCAGATGCAGAAATACAATATATTGCAACTTCTGATGAAATATAAGAGTTTCTTTTGTCTGTAATAAATCCCAAGTCTTGAAATGCGGATTGATCTCCACTGCGGCTATATTGCGCTTTGAAATCTCATTCCCTCACAGTCACACTGAATCTCTTCTGGATCTAATATCTGTTTTTGAAGAAATCCAATTGCCTGCAAATCCTGTGACAGCCATGGCCATTTATTTTCAATAGTTATCTAAAACCAATCTAGACAGAGCCAAGCAAGCCATTTCGCTCCCCCACCCACACCTCGGTTTACGACGGGTGCAAAACCGATGGATATGGTTCCTCAGTTGTTTTTTGTTGCAGGCTAATAGTAATGCAATCGACTTTGAGTCACCGCGTGTGACTTCCTGGGGTTGTTACCTGAATCAGCAGAGTGTGTCATGTGATGCTTTCAATCGGGGGTGTAAATGAGCCGTAGCAACCTTGGCCATTATAATTAAACACACATCTTCTATTATAAGCAGCACAAGGGCAGTCTGGGCTCATTTGCACCCTTTAAGTTTATTTATTTATTTGTATTATATATACTATTTTGTATGTTCTTTCCCACTATGTCTATCATTAAGTATGGTATTCCTGTCATGCTATGTTTTTTCTGTATTATTTCTTGTTGGCTGTTCCGTTTGTCTTCTATGTTGAAAAAGAGAAGCATGATTTCCACCCCAAAGAAGTCAGTACTATTGCTTACACTTGTATGCTTCTTCTCAATACAAATATCTGAAACATAAGCAGCACAAGGGCCAGACTTGGTCCTTTCACTCTCATTACCCAGGTATAGAATTCTACTTGTGTACGTTATTCATCTCTGAATAGCCCAGATCAAATCATCCCATCTCAATTAGACGGCATGTCATCATCATTAGTGAGGGATTACTCCACAGGATTCAGTGGTGTGTGGATCTCTATGTAATTCGCCATCATGACAGTTACTTGTTGTAAAGCGTAAACAAAGGGGATTTGCAGCTGGCAGCCACTCGTTTGCTGCACCATTTCAACGGGGGCACTAAAAATAAAGTAATTTATTCCATCAAACAACAAGCATGAAATCACCAGCGCTCGGATCTCCCTCCTCAGATTGTTTGCTGGCTTGCACCATTGATGCATGACCCACATTGCAATGCCCATGACACCCGGCTCTGTATCCCCCCCCCTCACCCCCCTCCGTGCTTTAACTTATATTTGGGCCTTATTAATTGCAGGAAAATGAGTAGAGATAAAGTTGAAAGGGTTGCCCTATTTTAGTTTGGAAAACAAGTGTAGTGATGGAACCACAGTGTTCAATATAACCTTCGTTAACATCTTAATAAGATAATATCTACTTTATTTCTAGAATATTTTGATCAAACTGAACTTATTAGTGTGGGCTTTAATTGTGAAAGCCTTGACAGAGATGCATCCTCCCCTGTGTGCTCTCTTTTCATATTGTTGGTATTTTAATTATATCAATAACTATATAAATTATTGATTATAAAAGTAATACATTATATACAACAGAATATTGCATCCTGTAGTATTACAGTACTATCAATAGTCCTTTAATCAGTGTAGTAATGGTAAAGCAGTGTTCTTGTCATACACCGAATGAATGTTTAATGGTTTTAGAACACTATATAAAATAGAAGAAACGAAAAAGGGCACTCCAAAGCAACATAATGTGTACATTCGCTCCATGTTTCGGATCTGCTCCTTAATATAATGGGTCATTCCCTTTGCCCATGCTTTAACCAAGTTCAAGAATATTTCTCTCTTTGTAAGACTTCAATAACGGTCAATTAACCATCAAACCAAGACAAAGAAAATAACCACCCTGGCTGTGGCAAATATTGTGAAAAGGCCTTTCATGTTGCCACTGATTTGAATTGTTGTTGTAATGTATCACACCTCTTCTTAAAACAGTCCCTACCCAAACATGTTCTGCACATTTAAATTGAAAAAAGGCACCCCAAAGATTCTTAAAACAGGTTGACAGTCAGAGCAGGACTTTACCCTGACGACACAGCCGGGCCCTGAACTCATCGCTCCTCTGTCTTATCGTATACTGCAGTATCTATAGAGATACAGAGAAGCTTCGGAAGAGACTTCTATAAACGCATTTCAACAAGAAATGTTGTCCATTGTCAACAACATGTTTTCAAGACGAGATTTCAGCAGTAAACGAACAAAAATGAGCAAATAGGTCAGCGCATATACAGTGGCTGATAAATAACTATCAGCAAGAATCTATTACCAACAGCAAGAATGTCACAACTATGAATCATCATATAATATGGGTAATACACAAAAGAATCTTCATTATAACATAGCATCCATGTGTGAATAATGTTATTTGTCATTGGAGTGAATACACATTTAAGATTTCATCTCTTTGGCAAAGACACACAAGCTCCCTCCATTAACAGTACAGTGCACTTCTATGGAGTGGGAGGTCTCTTAATCATTATTAAGACATTAAAAGAGGCAAATGGAAAATATGTATGACTGCCACACAATGGATCACATTCATAGAATAAGCCTTCAGCTTGAAAAAAATAAATAATTGACAGTTTTTCACTAAGCTAGAACAACAGAAGCTGAGCTGTCAGTGAGCATCATATCTCCAAAGGGCCTCTGTGGACCGCATGCCTTTGATCTCCTCACTGTGTGGAGCACCGGTGCTTGTGAGGGAATATCAGTCGAAATATTTAAATATTTACAGTACAAAGCGTGAATATAACTCGACACATCAAAGCCTCAAATTCTCTATATACACTGAATGAAGCAGGTATGCCGGGAAACACAACAATGAGCTACTTTTGTTCAACTTTTTCATAAGTGCATTCATGGAAAACAGCATTTTGCTTTTGCTGCAGGAAAGCAGGCACATCTTTCCAAATGCTGAACAAATCTGATTCAAACAAACCGAAAATGGGAAAAATAAATCGTAAGATGTTAGAGAGAACTTTGATTGGGGGATCCGACAGACATATCTCTCAGATGTGAGGATGTGTCAGAACAGTGTGCCTCATTAACAGGTGGAGTGTCAGGTACAGCTGCTCTGACCCGTGGGTTTTGCTGCTTGATATGCTGGTCTCTCTCCGAGAGCTCCTGTCAGAATATGAAGCAGAAACAGAGTCCCGATGGGAGCTCAACACCTCGCAGTGTTATTCTCTCTGGGAGATGTCATACATTTCAAAATATTATTTATGACTAAAAAACAACAACCGCATGATTAAATCAGTTGTCAAAACCGAAACATTTGACCAGGTTTCTACAGTTTTGCACAAATAAGTCACAAATGAGAAACACAGGGCACTTGTTTTTTATATTTATAATCTGATCGGTTGTCTGAGTAAAAAGAACAGTTTCAGCCAGTTGGTACGTGCTCTTGTGTCTAACTTTGTTATATATCATAACATTTATAGGATGTTGAACATCATTATACACGGTCACTTAAAAAAGTGTTTTCCTGGATGGTTCTGGGGAAATGAACAAAAAATGTCTGCACATGTTGGATTATAATATCAGCATTTCTTGTGTATATCTAAGCTCCAGAGGCCATTTATAAAATATCATCATAGTGTATATTTCAACACCCCTATTTTTTAAAACAAACCAAATGTTTAGTGTCGTTTTCTTCCTGAGAGAATTTAGACCTACAGCAATCTGAATGTCTGATATTACAAAGTAAGTAAGTAAATGCAGTGTGAAATGTGCTGCCAGTGGCTGTGAAGGCTGCTGAATTCAATAGTGGGATCTAAAAAAACTAAAAATGTTGCCACTGATACAGGATGATACTTCATTGTGTGTGTGGGTGGGTGAGGGTATGCGTGTGGGTGGATGAGGTGGGGGGGGGGGGGGTCATGGCTGCGAGGATCCTTTTTCCAATGTTATGGCACGATGCCTCCTTGTCTGTTTTCTTTCCCCCGCTAAGCTTCGCCTGAGGGAAACAGCCCTGCTTCCAGTGAGTGCAAATACACAATTTACACACACACACACACACACACACACACACACACACACACACACACACACACACACACACACACACACACACACACACACACACACACACACACACTTTGTATTTAACTCCATTATTTGTTATGCACATAAACAGGCTGACACGTCTCCTCTTCCCTTCACCCTTCACTTGCTGTCTTGGCCAATAAATGGATTATGTGCAACTAAAATAAGACATAAGAAAGGAGGGGGAAGAGGTTGAATTGGGGGTGGGGTTTCATAAAAAGGGGATAAATCAATCCTCAGTCTACCCGAGCTCTGCATGTGGCCCCTTCTATCCTCTATTATTACTCCGGAGTATTGGCGGCACGAGTTTCAAAGTGGGCAATTAGTCGTGGGTATTCCTGCGTTCAGAGCTCTTTTTACGTTCATACGAGCAGAAAGGTAAGATTGCTTTACTAGATAAATGAAAGGGGGGGGGGGAGGAAAGGAGGGAGAGAAGAGAGGGAGATCAAAGACGAGGCTCATTCCCCTGGCCTGTGGTCTGTTACCGCTGATAAGGTGGATCAGGAAGGGGCACACACACACACGTACACACACCGATCAAATATATCCTCCATCACACACCAGCTTCTCTGTTATCAGAGCTCTTCTGTAATCACAGCCCAGCCATGTGATATTTAGACGGTAAGGATCAATTACACGAGGCCCACTCTATATTACAGGAGCTATCCAGAGAGGAAGGCAGCCAAACAGACACAATCCACACACACACATGAACACACACACTCTCTCTCCTTTCACTGATTCGGTAGAGAGAAACCTAGCGTGGCGCTGACAACGGTCAGCTTTCATTGACACAGAGAAACAGTATGAGACGTCCCCCCGGCGACCCCCTCCTGGCCTCCCATTATTGGTTTCCTGCTGAATTGATCAAACTCACAATCGCTTTGAGCAGAGACCTGCTCGGTTTATTCCTACACAAAGGAGCCCAAGCAAGGGACAGAGAGGAAAGTGACCTACATAGAACATATCAGTATTTTCAAGAATCAGATGAAGACACTATTTTTGTTTTTAGGATTCGACTCGGAGGATTAACAGAATTGTTAGGCACAGCACGAATAATAAACCCTTGTTAAGTGATGATGTTTTAGGACATATTGCTCAGCCACGCTTATAAAGTCAGGCATTTACCTCTGGAGGTAATAATATATGAAAATGTAAAGTTTTACATGCAGTTCTTAATGGTTTGCATGATATTTTCATGTATTTGCTTGAAGCCAGTAGCCCTAGCCTTTTCACTGACCAGCACACGGCTTGACATAATGCCAACCTAAAAAATATTGTAATTATTGAGACTTTAAGAGACTCTCAATTATAATAATATGGGTTTTGTCTAAACCGGGTAACCGGGGCGCTGCGCCATCTTACTTTCGGCGTGCGCCCTCATACCAAATTGCCGATTTTCCCCGTAAAATGTTAAAGTGATGCCAGAAAACAATATTTCTGTTGGTCAGACATTTTATAATTACTCCAAAAATATCGTGTCAAATAGACCGTCAGACGGCATAGACAGCTTTGCTTTTGGACGAGTGGCAAGCAGAAGGCTTATACTTAAACTGTGATTTCTGAATTAGATCGTTTCTTTATCCGCCCTTTTTTCTGTAGAGGAAGTATAGAAACCTTAACTCGGATGTATTTGTTGTTTGAGGTGCAATATATAACTCGGCAGCTTTAAGACATAAAAAACGAATTTTCCGCTTCTCTCGCACGCATTATGTTCGCCGGAAAGTGGTAGGGGCGTTTCATTTACCTGTATATGGAGACATTTTCTATGAGGTCAGTGGTCTCTGTGTCCGTCATGATGATGCCTTTCGGAGAGATCGTCAAAGTTACTTTCTGAAACTTCTTGGCACTGGCCCTGGCCTGTGGATATGAAATATAAAAACACATTAACACTCGTAAAAAATCAATAGGGAGCTGTCTGACATAAATATAGCATGAACGTACTTCTGATGACACACCAAAAACCCCTGAGATGCGACAGTGGCTGCCAAGCTAAACTAGGCAGCCTGCGCGAGTTGCCCCGGAAATGTGGGGAATTTATACAAAAGTGACAGAACTGGGGGGGAGGAAAGCCGCATCGTGAAGCCCAGAACGAGGGCGACATGCAACTCGAGGTCGGGCTGGCAGGCGCTCACTCCCCCTGCCGCTCTGCTCCATCTGGAGTTTCAGGAAATAGGAGCAGAGTGCTGAGCTGGTGGTCTGTGAGAGAGCGGCTGTTGACTATGACAATGACCTCCTTACCATGCAATTAGCTGACAAATGAGAGCAGTTTAGTTTCACACTCAAGTGCGATGAGGTTAAGAATCGGTAGATAACTGTAGAGGAATACAGAGGGTGAAAGAAAGACATTATTTCATCACTTTCCATTCTCCCTGCAGGAAAACTCTTTTATTGTTGCAGTAGGTGAAATAAAGGCTGACACCGAGGAGAAGCGGATGATGAAAATAAGCGGGATCTTTGCTTAAAAGGAATAACCAGGACTTCTGAAGGACAACAGGAATGCTGTAGGAGCCTAAATGCCCTGGAGATGATGATGAGGAACAGCACATTCTGCTGAAACCCGCAGCACTTACAATACGTAAAACTGGCATTATATCAGAGAGGGAACAAGTGCTGTGGCTGAGTGTGGCAGCTCATCCATGTAGGAAGTGTTAACAACCACGTTATATTCTGTCATGTTACTCGTGTCATGCCACGAGGCAAAAACCAATCTGTCAGCTTGAGATACGCCAAATGCAGCTTCTTCTATACGTTCGGTCCCTCCGTCTTGTGTTATCATGCCAGACTGAAGCATGTAGCAAATGGAAAAGTCACAAATGTATTCAGTAATCCTATTCAAGTTGATTGGTTTCCAAGGGAACAGACAAGAGACAACTCAGTTGCTTTTCCTGTCCTCCTGGTGTAAATCAATTGAATCTTAATCCTGCCATTAGGTTTCGGTTCAGTCTCTAATTGAGAAGTGGGGGTTTATGAATCGGCTGCCAGCGCCAGGCTTTCCTTTCAGCAGATTAGACATTTCTTATTGTTGGCAGCGCTCAGGGAAAAGGTGTGCGTGAAGGACACACTAAAGAAGGAAATGTTATGTTTGCGTTTCGAATATGTAAATATATTGTTTGTATGTCTAGAAACTCACTGGTTTGAATGTAGTTATAAGGCAGTTTTCAAAATTGATGTAAAAAATAAAACGTCCTTCCCTGTGTGGCTCAGTGTTGTATAATAAACATCATATCAATAATTTGACTGCTGCACATGTGCAACTCCTGGATTAACAGCTATTTGAATCATGCATCAATATTGACCTCGATTTAAAACTGAACCCAACTATAACTACATGCCAAGGGAATAACAGATTATAATACATAAACAGTTATAATTTACAGGACCTTTTGGACTTTTTTTCCCACATGCAAACATTAAAGGCCACATTGAATAGTGAGTCCACACTGGTTTTCTGCCCATAAGACTATATTTGCTGAACAGTGAGGGAGATATTACTGACATAAAGCACATCTTCTACTTAAAATCTGCCTCTAATGGTACCCAAGGTAGGATATATACTGTACAAAGAAAAAATGGAACTTTATTTGGTGCAACAATGTTTAAATGTGTCATAAATGATCATCCTGGGTACATTTTTTCCCGGACCATCAGAATAACGTCAACTAAAATGACAAGTATTCCCCTTAACATTGTTCAGAAAATGTGCACTGCAGTTGTAGGCTGTCATTTCCCAAATGCCCAGGAGAGATTCTATAAAAAGCATGGCTGTAATTGAATTCTTCACAATGTCACTCTTGAAATTACACGTTGCTATTGAAGGTCCTGACCTTGCCTACAGAATTATATGCAACGTGGCTTGCTAATTTCACAATCAGAACAATTATTTGTACTTCGTCCAGCACTTACAATGAAATCAAAGTAACTATTCAAGATTCAAGTGCGGATACAACTTTCTTTATGAAACACTAAGAAAAGGGACCAGTGGCTCACCGTGGTAACGATTCTGCGAATGGCAGCTGAGGCCATGTCCTCTCCTTTGGGCTGGCCCACCAGAGTCATCCCCAGGTACTTCACGTTGAACACCATCCCATCCTGCAGGGTCTCCTTGGTGTCCGTCCAGTTCTCTGGCAGCTCTGTTAGGAACAAAGGATATAGGAAATCAGCTAAATGCGCTGACATTGCTGAAAAAAAACGTTATTATTATTATCAGCTTTCAAAATGGTTGAGGATGATGCTTGCTAATGATCGTAAAGATTTCACATAATCTACTCATTAAATACCACATATGGGATCAAATAAGTTATTGTGTAAGGGGAATCACATGATGTCCATAAAGGATACTTTTAAATACATTACAAATATTCAATTCTAAAAAAGTTAGTTTAAAGTCTTCGTTGTTTGTTGATCAGACTTTTAAAAACTCAAACTCAGCATAGACAGCATGCAGGTTAGCAGACAGTGATGTGGCTGTAGTCAGAAAATGATGTGATATTATCATCCTAACATGAAATAAAAATGTCACATCCCTGCAATATCTCTTATTTCTCTATATAATAACATAATGTGTAAAGGTCTGTGTGCATTGTGAGATAATTATTACAAGGAAGTCAAACTCTACTGACAGAATAAACACATTGTTTGATTTATGGTAGGTGATCCACACAATGGACACTTTCTTTCCTTTTTCTGAATGTACAACTAGAAAGCATCCAATTAAACAGATCTGTTGCTTGGATGCTGTCGTTTCTATGGAAGCGAACAGTGTGGATCCGTGTCGCACAGGCCCAACAAACCGAGGATCAGCAGGGCTTTGATAAACTGTACACAATGTCTGCAATGTCCTGCTGTTGCTGTGATTTCCAACAGGTAGCAGCAAGCTGTCCCTTTAGCAGGCGGGTGGACACACAAAGGGGGACGGTGCCCATGCAGAGAGCCTGAAATATCTCCAAACGAAGCCTGGAAATCCTGCAGAGGAGCACCGGGGGAGGGATAACTTACGAAACAGACCACGTTTTCTGAGAAATATAACGGGCTGATAAGGGAGACATGAATCCACAACAAATTAAAGCAGCCTTTAAACACCAAAGTTGTGATAAAGGGAACCATACCCATGCTTCACTCTCGTTTGTGTCCTTTTTTCTTTCAAGGTCCCCTACTATACTCTCAAGTGTTTGGCTCTAAATACCAAACAGATCATTGGAGCATGCCATATAGCCCTCTGTTTCAGCCATGTTTCAAAAGTGTTGATTCTGTGGGTGTTTCTCTGCTTGCTTGGTAGCACATGTCTTCCGAGTCACTTGCTTCAGAAGCGAGGCAAGAATACTTCCTGGCATTCGGAAAATTAAGAGTGGAACAGGAGAGCAAGTGTGCAGGTGTGCATCACATGAGAAGCCCCGCCTTACATTTTCCGCCACAGATTTGGGGTAATTGGTCCGTGCGCAAAGCATTGTGGGGATTTTAAGACCGCGGAGTCTACACATGTGCAGCCTCGACATTTTTCCTCTACGAAGTACGCCGGGCTCGGTAGAATTCCAAGTATGCTGTACATTGGAACAGTCCTTCGGCGGGACTCGATGACGTAGTATGCTTGAAATTGTGGCTCTGGAGCAGCTTTACTCGACATTGTGGCCGTTTCTGAATCGCGAGGATGCTGGCTTGGTAGTCGCGTACTTCCAAGTCACTTCCTTCAGAAACGAAGCAAGTATACTTCCAAGCCACGGCTATGGAAAACGAAGAAGAATGGAACAGGCTAACAAGTGTGCCACTCTCTCTAATGGTTTCAACACAAACTGTACCAAAAATAAAATACCTCACGATGTCTATCTAATTATGAACTTGCTTTACTTTCACGGAACACATTTTTCGTGATAACAAACAAATGTAACAAAGTAACATATTTACCAACACTTGTTCTACGCCACTACATACTTACATTTAAATGTGTGCTGCGTCGGTTCAGCCATTCTCCGCAAGGGTTTTTGAAATTGGTCCGTGCGCAAAGCATTGTGGGGATTTTAAGGACGCGAAGTCTACCCATGTGCAGCCTCGAAATTTCCCCCAAACCAAGGACGTGGCCACAGTGGAATTCCAAGTATGCTGGAGATTGGAACAGTCCTTCGGCGGCACTCGATGACGTAGCATCCTTGAAATATTGGCTTGGAAGCCAAAATCCTCGCGATTGAGAAACGGCCTGTGTCTGTAGCTTTGAATGCTAATGAACTACATCTCCCCACGCCCCTCTGCGAGATGAGGTAATGTATTACATTACATTACATTGCATTTAGCTGACGCTTTTATCCAAAGCGACTTACAATAAGTACATTCGACCAGGAAGACACAACCTTGAAGAAAACAGAATCATATAAGTACATCAGGTTTCATAGAGCCAAACATTTCAAGTGCTACACAACTGGCTTTAGATAAGCCAGTCCTTTATTAGTTTATAAGTGCTTTGTTAATAAATCTATCACTCGAAGTGGAGTCGAAAAAGATGAGTTTTCAGTTTGCGCCGGAAGATGTGCAAGCTATCAGCTGTCCTGATGTCAATGGGGAGCTCATTCCACCATCTTGGAGCCAGGATAGCAAACCCACGTGTTTTTGCTGATGGGAACTTGGGTCCCCCTCGCAGCGAGGGTGCAGCGAGTCGTTTGGCTGATGCAGAGCGTAGTGCACGCGCTGGGGTGTACGGTTTAACCATGTCCTGGATGTACGAAGGGCCAGATCCATTGGCAGCATGGTAAGCAAGTACCAGTGTCTTGAAGTGGATTCTAGCAGTTACCGGAAGCCAGTGAAGGGAGCGGAGGAGCGGAGTGGTGTGGGAAAATTTAGGAAGGTTGAAGACCAGACGAGCCGCTGCATTCTGGATGAGCTGCAGAGGTCGGATGGCACATGCAGGTAGACCAGCCAGGAGGGAGTTGCAGTAGTCTAGGCGTGAGATGACGAGAGCCTGGACCAGAACCTGCGTCGCTTTCTGTGTCAGCTGGGGACGTATCCTCCTGATGTTGTAAAGCGTGTATCTGCAGCAACGGGTTGTAGCAGCGATGTTTGCAGTGAAGGACAGGTTGTTATCTAGGGTCACACCCAGATTCCTTGCAGTCTGAATCGGGGAAACAACTGAGGTGCCGATGTTGATTGTTAGGTCAAGAGTGGGACAATCTTTTCCCGGAAGGAAGAGCAGCTCAGTCTTGTCAAGGTTGAGCTTGAGGTGATGAGCAGACATCCACTGAGAGATGTCAGCTAGACAAGCAGAGATGCGTGCGACGACCTGGGTCTCTGAGCGGGGAAAGGACACAATTAATTGGGTGTCGTCAGCGTAGCAGTGGTATGAAAAATCATGCGGGCTAATGACTGATCCGAGCGAGTTTGTGTACAGGGAGAAGAGGAGGGGACCAAGAACAGAGCCCTGAGGGACCCCTGTAGTTAATTGACAAGGGTCGGACTCAGACCCTCTCCAAGTCACCCTGTAGGTACGGTCTTTGAGGTATGAGGTGAGGAGGGAAAGTGCAGAGCCTGAAACTCCAAGTTTTTGGAGAGTGCGAAGGAGGATCTGATGATTCACCGTGTCGAATGCAGGTCCAACAGGATGATGACAGAGGAGAGGGATGCAGTTTTGGCAGTGTGCAGTTCCTCAGTGACAGCAATGAGAGCAGTTTCTGTGGAGTGACCTGCCTTGAAACCAGACTGGTGCGGATCCAGAAGGTTGTTCTGATGGAGATAACAGGAGAGTTGTTTAGAGACAGCGCGTTCAAGTGATTTAGACAGGAACGGGAGGAGAGAGACAGGCCTGTAGTTTATAACATCTGACGGGTTGAGAGTGGGTTTCTTTAGGAGAGGGTTTACTCTTGCCTCCTTGAGACTGTTTTGGAAAGTGACCAGAAGTTGTCATGTATGTATAGAAGACATGGAAAAGTGGATTTTGCATAATAGGTGACCTTTAAAGATTCATTTTCTGCTCACATACTGAAATGATGGAGACAGAGCCACTCAAAATAAATGTCTAACACTCCACTGGGCTATACTGGCACCAAACTCTCCACACGGGCTGAGCCATCTGTCACTGGCAGGTCCCATGCAGCTGAGAAGGAGAACGGCACAGCGCTCCGTCCACTAACAGCGCTTACAACTATGAATTATTAAATCATCTTTAATCATTCTGTGGGGGCTGCTTGGTTTGTGGTGGTTTAGTAATGGTGGGCAGCATTGTTGGTTGCGTTTGGCTTGTGCTTGAGATGTGTGTCATGATTAAAAGTCCCCTTTGGTCTAATAGAAATTGTCTTTACTACTTACAGCCATTCATTGTTCCGAGGCGGTAGGTTCACTACCATTAAAGAGCAGTGCTTTAATGCGCTATTGATCCATGAGGGGGCAATGCATCGCTCCCCATCCCCCTCCCCACAGGAGGTCAGAGGTTCAGCTACAAAACACTGCCAAGAACACTAACAACGTAAGGTAAGAAAATAGGTGACACATATATAGAAAAGCCATTTCACTGTTGAGTTTTTCAAAAGATGAAATCAAACATAATTCTAATCACTACCATTGTATTGTTGTGACAAAAAAAGCATCAGCCCACAGCTGATATTTGACAATCTTGGCAAATAAAACCACAGATACAGTATCTGCAAAGGTCACGAGATTTCACAAGAACCAATACATGTATACCAGGTCAATGCCAACATTCTCGTGGCTTAAGAGTAACCTCTCCAAGTTGTCTGGGGAACATAGATTCTTTGTTTAAAAAGCACCAAACTTACTTGGTTAAGAATTAGCTTTCTTCCCTTTATAGGGCCTAGAGTTCGTATAATATTTGTTTGGAACAACGTGTGTCCAAGATGTTGCTAAGGTTTATCAGACTTTGAAGTTTCTCCTGACATTTATTTTGTTTGAAGGAAGTTTAATAATTGCAACCACAACCTTACTCATTTCCAGAAGTAGCCTTACTCTGCCAAACTCATTGGATAGTCCTCATCTTAACTGGAAATGATTACTGACTTTTACACATCTAGCTTTGGCATTAGTCTTTAGGCATCATACCTATGTAACCACCATGTGAATGCACAGTTTCACAGGGTAATTGTATTTATAAAATGATGTTGAAAACATGAACAAGTCAGCAGTTTACAACAAACGTATC